TAAGGGATGCTTTGGTTGTCATTTTGGGGGGAGACCATTTGCCCTGTGGTATGACTTGGAACCCTGGAGGTGGCCTGGTTAAGCAGGGGCAGGGCTGTTAGCACTGGCAGGGAAGCCCTGATGTGTCCATTGTGCCCACCCTGTACCAAACACCCAACCCAGGTGTCCTGGAGCCTAGACCATAAGAGTGCCCACGCAGGCACCTATGAGGTCAGATTCTTCGACGAGGAGTCCTACAGCCTCCTGAGGAAGGTGAGTATCACCTGGAGCCCTTTCCAGGCCTGCAGGAGGGAGGGCACACTCTCCTGCCACAGCCACCTCCCACGCTACAGCCCCCTCCTCCTGAAGCTCTGAGCTACCCGGGGCCTTGCTTACAGGGGCAGGAAGGCTGAGCAGGTGCCTTCCTATCCACCTGCCCCCCCCCCCCCCCCGCCGCTTGTACCTTGTTTCTCCCTTACCCATTTCTCTCCTCCTGTGACTCAAGCCAGGGTTCCTGCCTCTCCTACCCCACCCCACTCAACAGCACCCCTAACTCCAGCACCTCCCTTACAGGCTCAGAGAAATAATGAGGACATTTCCATCATCCCACCCCTGTTCACAGTCAGTGTGGACCATCGGGTGAGTGAGCTGAAGAGGCTGACCTGGTCTTGAGAAACAACAAGCACACAGCAAGCCTCATCCTTTTTTAGGGGCTGGGGACTGGGCCATAGTTGGCCAGTGAGTCTTTATGCCCCAGAAGGAGGGTAACCAGGGCTGACTGGGCCCCTTGCCCATCCATCCCCTGAGCATGCTTTGGTCTTTCTTGCAGGGCACCTGGAACGGGCCCTGGGTTTCCACCGAGGTGTTGGCCGCAGTCATTGGCCTAGTGATCTACTACCTGGCCTTCAACGCCAAGAGCCACATCCAGGCCTGAGGGCAGTGCCCTCAGCCCTCCTCGTTTCTTTCAATAAAGTTACATGGCTCCTCACTTATGTTGCCACACCTTGCCTTCCACACGAGTCAGAGCTGGGCAGCCAGCATCTCCTGGTCCACCCCGGACAGTACAACACTGAGTGTGGATGGGACTGAAACTCCTGTCTCGTGGGTTTCGCTTTGCTCTTTGCTGTTGCAGGGCCTCCTTCCTCAGCCCCCAGCGGCCTTGTCCACCTCTCGTGGTTGCCTGCATGGCATGAGTGGGACAGAGTTGCCCTCTACCCCAGCACATGCTGTCTCCAGGCAGAGGGCTGCCATGTCCTGGCCCCTCTGGCCTGCCCAGGGCCGGGCCCTCTAACTTCCTACCATTGGGAGTGCAGCTGCCCAACTTCCTTGAGACTCAGCAGTCAGCAACACATGTAGACAACACTGCGCCTGGCCTGCAGTGACTCCTATGTCTGGAGCCCAAGGCAAAAGCCACACACTGATGCACAGAAGTGTTTTTCCTGTGGTACATTGTGAGTGCCCCTGTTTTAACTGATGGGGTTGAAGCTGATACACCTGGCAGCTTTCTTGGGCGTGGCCATTCTACACATTATACCCTGTCCCCATGTTGCTTCCCAGTGTACTCCCACTTCATGGTGGCAGGTAGGACACAGAAGGCAGAGGAAAAAAGATGACCCTGACCCCCATGCCTCTGTAGAGCCCATTGCTAGCCACCTCGTTTGGCCTTGCACTTTGCCCTGCTAGTGTCCCTACTCCCAGGAGCACCCAGTGCCACTCGACACCAGACGTGCCTGTTCCTGCTCTAAGTCAACCCTCAGCCATCCCGACCAGTTTCACTGGTGCCACCCATGGCTGTAGAGGTGCTGAGATCCAGGGGCTAGATGGGAAATCCCAGGGGAGTCCTTCCCACAGGCATGGTCCAAGTCTGTGCTCAGCTCTGACCTGGTGACTGCCTCCCATGGGGTTCTCAGTGAGGGGTCGTGAGCCGTTCTGGTGGAGTCCCAGCACCCTGGTGCTTGATCACCATTGGCTGTGTAACAGGGCTGTGTGGACACAGTAGAAGCCTCCAGAGGTTGCACTCGCAAAGGAGGGTAGGCCCAAAACCTACCTGGAAGAGCAGGGGCTCCTTTATCTGCACTAGGTCCTCCACAGTAGTAGGAAGAGCTGGGAGGGTGAAAGTGGCTTGTGACCTGGGTGCGACTGCCTGGGGACCTCCTCCAAGACCATGGGACACCGGCCTCTACCTGCTCACTGGGATGGGAGCAATTAGGAGTGGGGAGGCTCTGAAGAGCTGGGTCCTCACCCAGTACAAAAAGCAATACAGCAGGAGTCAGGGCTGAGTAGAGGACCAAGCCCGGCTAGGACAACTGGCTGCTAGTTTCTGGATTCCAGAGAAAGACCAGCAGAGGGAGCCCAAGGAGGAACCTGCTGGTGGTGGTCAGGGCTCACCCCCACTCTCTTAAGGAGGTGAAGGAGACAGGTTCTCACCACGTGCATTCATTATGCAAACAGCCTGAGTAGGGTGGGCAGCAGCAGCTCCGTGCAGCCCAGTGACTTTTCCATCCCGACTCCACCACCTGCCCAATGGCAATGAGCCCCACATGTGAAGTCACTGCTCTAGGGTATCAATAGCCAAGGGCTGCCAACACTCCAAGAACCAGTGACAGCCACGCCCCAGTGCTGGCTTTCATATGGCCAAGGGACTCCAGGTTCTAGGCTTGTCTTGGCCCATATTCCTGGAGCACTGGGCCTCCCAGCAGCTCCCCACTGGAGCAAGAGTGGGGCACCTCTCGAGCAGCTCATAACACACACACATACATTAGTTACTAAAAATCTGCAAAACACCAGAAAATTTTTATTTACTTTTTAGAGGGAGAAAAAGGGAAATATTGATGAATGCACAAGACAAATGTCAATTGGTTGCCTCTCGCACACCCCAACTGGGGACCTGACCTGCAACCCAGGCATGTGCTCTGGCTGGGAATCAAACCAGTGACCCTTTTGGTTTGCAGGCTGGCACTAAATCCACTAAGCAACACCAATCAGGGCCAGGAAATATATGTTTGCCGATCTGACAAAAGAGGTATAATTTTGATTCATTCACAATGGATGGCTATTGTGTTGGCTGTTGTCATTTGTTTAATTTGACAATCTAAGGGAAAAGAGGTTTAGTCAAGCGTTGCATATTCTTAAAATTCTTGCAACACACCAGTTGAAAATTGCTGCTCTAGAGCCATCAAAGTGAGCCTCCCAGCAGCTAGACAGGGAATGCCCAGGGGTCGGTCAGCTGGCTTGTCTCCAACTCCCCCCTCCCATTGTCTGTGGCAGGGGAGAGCCATCCTCTTCCACGGGGCTGTATCCCTTCCAGGGAAAGACTGATCACAAGTATCTAGGAACCCTGTCCTCAGCAAGAAGTCTCAGAGGACTGAGCTGAAAAGGGGGCATCTCCCGCCCCCCACCCCTTGACTCCCAATTGTCCCTTTTCACCAACAAGCCCTTTACTCCCTTTCCCACTTGCTGGTGTTCCAGCCTGCAGTGTGACATGCTGGGCCTTCCCTCCCAGCTGCTCAGACAGCCAGACAGATGTGGTCCACTTGGGAACCAGCCTTTCCCAGCAGGGCACTGGGCTTCTGGGAAAATAAACTCGATTCCTCGCTCAAGCTCATCTCAGTCAATTAGCGGAATTAACAAGAGGTCTACGTTGTTGTTTCAAGACTTATTTTAATGTGTCCTTGCCCACTTCAGCTGCTGGCAGTGTCCAGTGCCTGTTCAAGAGAAGTTCCCTCCATGGCCACATTGCCCACCCCAGGGAGTGCCGCGTACAGAACAGGCCACACCCAGAGTTGGCCTTCAGGGAAGTGGCCCTCACCCAGCATGTAGCATGATTCCTGGCCCTTGATGCCCAGTGGTTTGCTCACTGAATGGAACTACCAGCATTTGGCTGCACCTCTGGAAGTCCCCAAGCCAGAAGGGCCCTCTGTGGACACCCAGGTATTCCTCCATTTGGCCAAAACTTTACTCAGCATCTTCTACATGCTAGGCACTGTGGGGTCCCCAAATAGAGAAGGTAACTTGTGCTTTTGAGAAGCTCCCAGCTCCTTGCCCCTGCTAGGGCTTTTCTGAGGCAGAGGGGGAGGAGCTGAGTGGAACCCTCTTCTCTTAGCCTCCACCAGGGACTGGGTGTTGGCCTCATTCAGTGGCAAGCCCTGCCACCAGTCCTGAGCAAGTCCTCTGCCATTCTTCCTGCCCACCCAGTGGCCATGTCACAGCCCTGAAATGATTCCAGCAACCCTGTAATATCTCCTCCAAGAATACAGGACACCGACATCAGAAGACCTTGTTGTTCCTTAGTGACATGCCAAGAAAAGCGGAGGAACAGCTTTCAATTGGTCCCAGTCCTCGCCTGCCCTGCGGTCCCTCTCCCTCTCCAAATTGATCTCTCCTAGCACGATGCAAATGAACACAGGGAGGCCAGGAGTCACCATAAAAAGGCAGCTTGCTTTATTGTCGCAATGCCAGTGGGGGGCAGGGATGGGCAGCCTGACTCCAATCTGAGGCCGAGGCCAAGGGGCCCTGAGGAGCCTGAGGCAACTCAGTCAATGCACCAGTCCCCCGAGGGCTGTCCAGTGCACACCTGCAGAGTGGGGTGTGGGACATCTTCTCCCCCGTTGGCCCATCTGGCCAGGCGCACCTCTGACGGGTCTGGGCCATTCCCTCAATTCCATGTGGTTCTTGTCACAAAGGTCTTTTGCTATTACTCATGGGGCTTTGGCTTCTGGACTCATGTATAAGCATGACCCTCAGAAGAGAAGCCGCACTCCACATGGAGTCAGGCACAGCCCTAGGCTCGGTTATTTTTTTTAGACGGATACAGTTCCCTCAGTCCTCCTGGTCTCGGCTCTCCCTCTTTAGAGGAGGTAGCCCCCCCAGGGTGAGCCTCAAAAGCCATATCAGAGGCTCCTCGTCCCCACACCTCGGAGCGGAGGCCAGCAGGAAAGCTGCTTCCCATTCTCCCCTTCGTTCCCATCCCTTCCCTCCCACCCAACCCTCCCCTCTTACTCCCCCCACCCACCCACCTCCTTCCCAGCCTTCACTAGGGGATTCCGCCTTTGTCAGGCTGCCTGAAGGAGCTGCCAGTCCCCAGGGCAGGTGCACAAAACAGAAAAACAATTGGCAAGCACAGGAAGGGAGAAAAACCACAAAAATCAGGGTTTGCCTTTGTCTACAAATAGAGGATGCTCCCAGCAGGGAGAAAGACTGCTCAGCTCGGAAGCTGGACATTCTCTTGTGCTTAGGACAGTCCTCTTCACCTCCGTTTCTGCTCAACTTCCCTGTGCCCAAGTTCCCACACTGAGAGAGCTCTGGAGGGGTGTGCATGAGTGTGTGCACGTGCATGTGCCTGGGCTCGTATTGTGTACACACGTGCACACAACTGAAGGGGTGCCTCTGCTCCTCAGAGGCTTCTCTCTGGCAACAAAGTCCTGTGCACACACACAAAGACAGGTACGCACACACCTGTGCACACACAGACACACACTAGATTCTAAGGGAGAGTACACAGCGGGGTCCCTGGAGGCTCACTGAACCTGGGTTGGGGCAGAGGGCCAGCACCTGGAGTACAGCTGGCTCCCATCCGGGTGGCTCAGACGGTGGTAACCGAGAGCAGAGGGTTGTAGACCCGCTTGCCGTCAGCCGAGCGAGTGCCATGGGCCAGCATCTCCTGGATGGTGATCCAGTTGTCTAGAATCTTCTTGTTCCGCTTCTTCATGGTTTTGCGGTGGCTCAAGGCAATGATGTTGAGCTCAGCCTTGCTGTCGCCATTCTGCTGTTCCCTCAGGCACTCCAGCCGGCTCTGCATCATGAACTCACGCCGCTTCCGCTGCTCCCGGGCCCGGATCAGGTGCTGCTTCCGCTCCTCTTTGCTCCAGTAGCGGCCCATCTTCATCTCACTCACTGCATCGTCATCTGTGGTCATGCCACTGCGCTCCTCTCGGATCTTCAGGGCCCGGGCTTTTAGAAGGCGATCACGCACAGGCCGCTTGGCCACGTAGCGGGTTCCGTCGCTGCGTACCTTGACCTTCCACTCCATTCGGGGTGCTTCGGCGGCTGTTGCCACTGCTCCGCCTACCCGAGGGCCACTAGCCAAACTCAAGGGGCCATGACCCAGATCCTCCAGGCCACGCGGCGGGGCCAACTGCACACAGCTATTGTAGTGCTCGCTCTCCTGGCCCTGGCCTCTGTGGCGCCTAGAGAGGTAAGGGCTGCCCTCAGGGCACACACGCTCCAGGGTCACCCCCGTCTTTGGGCTGCGGCGGACACGCTCCTCTGAGTGCTGTCTCCGGCCCACCTCGGGATCCCGGGAGAGGGATCGGAATTTGGCGGGGCTCCCCTGTGAAGGAGCTCCCTTGGGGTGGGTGGCAACAGGGGGCCCAGAGGGAATCTGGTTCAAGTTGGAGTTGCCAGCAGCTGCCCGCCTCAGGGGGCTCTCCAGCAGGGGCTCGGTGAGCAGTGGGGTGCTGCGGCAGCTCTCCCCTGTGTTGTAGGCACTGGTGCTGTCCTTGTCAGACTTCTCAGGCAGCTCAGAGATGTCAGACAGCTCGTGCTTCTTGGGCTCACTGGCTCCCAGCTCATAGAGGCTCTCGTCCTCCAGCAGCCAGGCCTTCATGCAGCGCTCACGCAGCTGCTGCATCTTCTGCGCCCGCAGGATGTTGCGGCACTTGAATTCCAGGTGCCGTAGCTCTTCCTCCAACATGGCCATCTCATGGCCCAGGCTCTCATTGCGGTTGACGTCCAGGGCACTGTTGCCACCAGAGGCCCGGGGAAAGAGGAGGCCCAACTGGTTGCCATTCTCCAGGTGGCACTTTATCTCCAGCAGCTCCCGGTAGCGCTCATATTCCTCATCGGTGAGGCCAGGGACTTCACCACCCCCCAATGCAGCCCCCTCAGCCAGCAGGGAGTCCATGCTGAAGTGGAAGTCCCGGCTCTGCAGGGCATCCCCTTGCAGGCCAAACTTGCGCAGGGTCCCAGGCGTGTTGGTGGTGCTCAGGGGCTCATCGCCCAGCAGGTCGTGCTCAGAGCTCTCCTCATTGCGGGTGCTCTCGTCAGTCCGGCCCACCCCGCTGTCCAGCTCCTGGCTGTTGCTCAGGCCTGGACCCACATCGGGGACTGCTTGCTCCTCTTCATTCCCGAGCTGGGGTAGAAAGGTGAACCCCGCTCAGTCTGGGTCCCACTAGTCAGGGAGCCACAGGATTGGGATCCGAAGGGCTTTGGGGCCTGCTGCACCTCCCACACACCCCCCAAGCCCCTTCTCCCTCTCCCTTCCTGCTTGCCCTCCCTACTACCTGCTCTTCCTCCTTGCTCACCTTCTGGGCAGGGGGTGATTTCAACTTCCCACCACGCAGGTCCCCCTCATTCTCTGAGCCCAAGTTATCCAGGAAGTCATCCCGGTCACTGTCCTTCCATCGCTTTGCCAGCTGCAGAGATAGGCCCATGATGTCCCCACTGACTTAAGGACCTCCCCGGACACCCTTCCAGTTGCCTCAAGGTTCCATACCCAGCCTCCTGGTCTCAATGAAGTTATCAACCCAAGAGAGGGGGTGGTCCCAGCCCACCCAGCCATCATAGGTCAAAAGGGGAAATAGGCCCTCAGACACTGCCAGCCCTCTATGAGCACCAGGTTGTTGGCATGTCTGTGCCCTTGTCACAGATCGGCATATTCCAAGACAGAAAGTCCAATGTGAGGGGACCCGGAACACTCTGCTGGACACACACACACACACACACACACACACACACACACACACACACACACCTGGCTCTCAGGTCGGGCCACCAGCAGGGAAATGTTGGTGTTCTCCTCCTGGCTCAGGATGGCCACCGCCTCTTCCCGGTTCTGGACGTCCACACCGTTTATCTGTGGTGGGCCGAGGAACAATCAACAAGGACCTCAGAGCTGGCTCCAGGATGGGCCCTGGTTGAGCACCCTGGGCTGGGACAGGCTCTCAAGCTTTGGAAGGGTGGAGAGAAGTGGAAGGTGCCTCAGGAGAGGGCAGCATGGCCAGCGTGAGAGCACGTGTGCTTGGAGAATAGCATGGAAGAGATTTGACCACATCTGGGGGACAGAGGGAGAGGCTGCAAGATGCCAGAGCAGATCCCACGTGGACACAGGAGTCACCCAAGGCAGTTGTGCAGGAGAGATGAGACCCAGCCCTGATTTTAATCACACCAGGATGCCTGGCACCAGGCTAACCTCTCAGACGAACAGAGCAGGGATCAGCGAAGAGGAGGTGCTGGGACAGCTGGCACATAGGGGCCCTGGGTCAGGCCCACCTGTCCTGCTCAGCTCACCTGGATGATTCGGTCTCCTTCTCGGATCCGGCCGTCTTTGGCTGCAATGCTGTTGGGATTCACCTGCAAGGCACACACATCCTGGGGACTTAGCTCCTCCACTAAAGTGCCTTTTTAATAGGAAGGGCCGGCCCCAAAGCAAACCAAAGGCTCCTTTGCTTACTCCCTCTTTAGCTCAGATCAGCAGCTTCCAAGCTCCAGGAGGCAGGGACAAAACAGTGGGCCTGGGGCTAGTTACCCCACCCCAGCACGTGGCTATTTGCTGACCAAAGCCTTCCAGCCCCTGCCTGCCAACCCCACGCCCTGGCTGGCACTCCTATACTCTTTTGCATGGAAGTTTGTTTTTGTGTTTCAGAGGCTAGGCAAATGTGGCAAACTGGATACTTTCCCATACTTTGCCACACTCAAAAACGTCAGCAGTAGGATATTCATAGGAAGGTTAACTCGATCAGGAGACTGCTAGAGCGTGGAGGGCGGCGGGGGCATCCTCCTCCCTCCTGCAGACACACAGACATCTGCCACGGACAGGTGGGGGAGGATGACCCCCACGCGTACCACGAGGGCTGGCTGCAAGATGTGGGAGGCAAAATACAGCCTGGCTGGGACCTCATCCTGCCTCAGCCTTGCCCGGTGTCCCACTTGGGCCATGTGTGCTGCAGAGGGCTGTCAGGCTGGACATACAACACTAAAGCCATTGGTTGCCCTGGCCTCACTGATCAGCAGCCTCCCTGTGATGCTAAGCAGGCCCTATCCCTCACACCTGGGTCCTTGTGGGCAGCTTGAGAGCCCTAGGCAGTGTGCAGAGGCCAAGGGGTTGGGTGGTATGCCAGACCCTGCCTCAGCACCCACCACCATGGCGCACCCATTCCCCTCACTGATGCAATATACATGGGCAAAGTCCAGCTTTGAAGTCCCAGCACGCAAGAAGACAGCGTGGGGCTCTGCTGCCTTCTATAAGACTGCACCCATATCCCCACCTTCTTACCTCTCCAACGTAGATGCCCAGGTCCTCCTCATCATCGGTGCGGTAGCAAACCATCAGGCCCAGCTTGTCCTGGTGGCTGGCTTTATACAGCTCCACCTCCTGCCACAAGAGGGGGTGAGGGAAGCAGAGTAAGAAAGCCCTGGAAATATGTGAGCGAGGACCCATGCTGCAGCGGTGCAGCCATGGCCCAGCCCTGGCCCCAGCAGCACTTCACCTGAGCAGAGCTGCCGGCCCCAGGTTTGGTGGATCTCTCTTACCATCCCCAAATGGCACATGTGTTCAGTGGTCTTCCCTACCAGGAAGTGCCCGAGATATACGAGACACACGGGACACACAGGGACACAGACATGTGCAGGACGCAGACTCACCGACATAAACTGAGCATAGGACCTCACCCGTGCCCTCCCCGATTCAGCCAGACTTGGCGGGTGAGCCTGAGTAACCAGCCACACACTGGGAAGGACCACAAGGGCCAGCCACCTGGGAGCAGCAGGAGCCAGGCCTGTGCTGGGCTGTAGAGAGCTGTCCCAGGACTGGCTCCCGGGGCTGGCTGCAGGCCTTGCCCTGGCCACCCGGCTCACCTCGTACTCCAGCTCGTCCATACGGTCTGCCTCCTGCGGGCCGCCCTCCATGAACTCCGCTGGGTCATAATACTCATGGTTGATTGGGGGGCTGCCCAGGAGAAGGTGGGGGTCAGGCTGGCCATCTGCTCCTCTCATGCCCTTGCCCAAGCTCCTGGGCTGGCCAGTCTCACTGCACTCAGCATGGAGCCCTGCTCTGGCTACACCCTCAGGGAAGGTGTCTAGGCCACTTCTTCCCGAACCCCTTCCTTCTGAGCTACATGCGCAAACCAGGAACAGTTACTGAACGGGACTATGCAGGGGCCCACACCGAGGACACAGAGGCCTAGCTCTCCCACCCTGTCCCACACTGTCCGCCACTCACATTCTTCCAACCATGCCAGCCAGCAGGAACTGACTTCTCCAAACTGTGTGCAGGTGCCCTTCCCACCCAGCACTGACCCCACTCATGCAATGCCCCCAGGAGTTATCCAGGCCCCGGAGGACGGCCCAGGGACGGAAAAAGACCCAGTCTACCTCCAACGGTGGCCCCTCTTGCCCTGAAGCTGAGCGTGGCTGCTGGCGGCCCCGAGCCCTACCTCTCTGCGGAGGGGATCTTGGGACCACCTCCCTGCAGCCGGGGTTTAGGCTAGCAGAATGAGTCAGTGCTCACACAGTCATGAGCCACCAGGCTTGGATGAGAGGCCCTTCTTCCGAGCAGGCCAAAGAAAGAAGCTGAAGAGATGGAAGAAGTTCAGAGCGGGGAGAGGGATGGGACAGACAAGGATGCAAGAAGATTCAAGGGGTGATGCTTGTGAGGCAGAAGACGATGGGGCGGCAGAAGAGAGAGGATGAGGAGGAGGAGGAGCTGAGGACCCTCAACCTTCCAGCAGCAAGGTCCCAGGATGGTCCTCCCTTGGCCCTGAGGGTAGATACAATGGGGATCCCGTGGGTCAGCCTCCCCTGGCCCCTTCCTCAGCTGGGGTCCAGCCTGAGGCTAGAGGCCTGGAGATTTCTGAGCCCCTGGGTTCCAGTCAACTCTGGAGGCCTGGAAGCCTGCTTCCTGCCTGAGAAGGCGAGCCCGCTGGAGTCTCCCTGCCACACCCAGAGCTGCAGCACTGCAGCCCCTGGGTGGTGTGGGGATGGCTGCCGCTGCTGGCGTGCCGTCTCTGGAGGCAGGGCCCGGGGCCCTCCTGAGGGCGACTCACAGCTCAGACAAGACGTACGGCTCCAGGATGACCATGGGCGGGGTGGGTGGACGCAGCTTGCCCAGCGCCATGATATGCTCGAAGGTGATGTCAGTCTGAGTGCCACTGTCCACCAGCTGCAGGTCGTGACAGGAGCTGTCCCCCCGGAGGCGGGGGCTGCGTCTCAGCACCTGGATCACCAGGGGCTCCTTGGAGGAGCGCAGGGCCTCCAGGGTTTGCTCCTGAGACAGCTTGGAGAGCTCCTTCCCGTTCACCTGTGGCAGAGACACGCCCCCATGAGAACCCACTGACCAGTACCCGGCTCTGCTCAACCAAGAAATCTGCTGTCCACCCTTGGCCCTGCTTACCCTTCACGTCCCCATTCACAGGCAAACTGTGCTTCTTAGCCCTGTCCCCACACAGTGCTGTCTGTGGATTGCTGGGCCATACCCCGAGGGTCTGGGGACTCTGCTGTCACATTAGGACATCCTTCGGCCCTCCTCCAGGAGCCATCCACTCTTCAGTCCCCCTCACTCTAGCCCTGCTTCTTCTTCAGGCAGCATTGAGACCAGAGCTAGCATCTAAAAAATTGCAGAGTCCCCCTTGGCAATAACCTGGCATCTGTTATATGAGAGGAAGACCTGGACTCCTCTCCCGATGGGTGTCCGTCAACAAATAGGCTCAAGTGGGAGGGCCGGGAAGAAGAAGATAAGGACAGGACCTAGGTCCTCAAGGTAGTGCTGGACTCACCAAAGAGAAAAAGGCCAAAATGCAGAGCCCTCCTGGCATTACAAGTCAGTCTAAGGCCAAGGAAGTGGCCCTTAGGCAACCACCGCTGTTTCTTAGGGGCCTGATGTGCCCAATTCTGACCCAACAATCTATCTGGCAGATGAGGAAACCAAGACTCAGCAAGATGAAGGGAGCCATGAGCCGGGCAGGCATGCACAGCGGTCAGAGGCGGGAGTGGGGGAGGCGGCCATATCAGGCTGGGGGCCAAAGAGAAGATGGGAAAAGCAGGCTGATACTGGCTGGAAGATGGAAGGTCTTCCAGGCAGACAGAGATGCAGGGAAGCAGAGATCCAGGCTGGGGACCCAGCTGGGGGCAGAAGGCTGGCCCCAGTCTAGCCCCTAATTTCTGCAGCAGCCTGTGTGTCTTAGGCTCTGGAATGGTCACTTTCCAACTAGTGAACCCAGCTGCACACACACATACAACTTCAAGGCCCTCCCCTTGGCAGGGAGGCAAAAGTACTACTGACCAAACAAACACAGCCAGAAGTTGTCACAGGGCCAGCAAGGGAGAGTCAGGAAGCAGTTCCTGGAGAGAGAGAATGGCAGGGTCTTCGGTTCACTCAGCAGCTTTGTGGAAGGGCTCTCCCGGGCCTGGGGAGACCACACACTAGCAGTGATGGCCCAAATGACTACACCCAGCAGGTAAGTAAGCACTGAAACAGACCTCCAGGGGCTGCTATGGAAGCACAGGACCAGCCTTGGAAGGGGGGTGAGGGAAGAAGGCTCCCTGAGCAGGTGTCGGCTGCCCTGCTTCAGGGGAAAGGCAAGGAGGCTAGAATGAGGTAAGGAGGCTGGTTTGCAGGCGGAAGCAAAGTCCCTGATGGTCAGCATGGAGATGGCGGGTCCCAGGGACCCAGTATGCACCCATGGCCAGAGCTTCTGCAGGATGAGTGGCAAAGGAGAGCCCTTTTCTGCTTGGCTATGCCGATCCTGTCTTCTGATTCTCACGCACAGCACCACCTTCCTCCTGGATGTCTCAGGGGGTGGGCGTTCTTGATAAAGATGCCCAATCCAACTGCAAACTCATGTCTTCCCAACTGCAGCGTGAGAGACCAGTCCCTGGATGTCATCCCAGGAAGGGACCCCTGGCTGGCCACGACTCCTCTGAGTGATTCCCTTTCTGCTACATGATTATGTGATTTCAGTTTTTGTCTCCCCTCTCTCCAAACATTTCATGGTCAGAAAAGATATGTTTTAATCGACTTTGTCTAATTATGAAAGAAACACAGGTTCACTATTTTAAAAAGAATTTATTTACTCACTTTTCAAGAAAGAGGAAGGAAGGAAGAAAGAGACGGAGAGAATCACCAATGTGTGAGAGAGACACCAATCAGTCACCTCTCACATGTCCCCAGCTGGGGACCTGGCCCACAACCCAGGCACGTGCCCTGACAGGGAATCAAACTGGCAACCTTTTGGATCGCAGGCCGGGACTCAATCCACTGAGCCACAGCAGCCAGGGCAGAAACACAGGTTCATTATAGAACATTTGAAAAATATAAAACACCAAGTGCCTTCAGAATTCTGAGTTCCTAAGTCTCCGCAGAACAGGTGGAGGAACCTGAGGAGCCACAGCATCTCAGGCCCGGTGGGAGGCAACGCGGGGTTGGGGGTTCAGTGAATGAGGAGTGGGCGCAGTTGGGGACCTGGGAGAAGCCTCCTCCTTACTATACACAGTAGGGGCTGGGTGCGTGGGGGAGGCAGGTACCTATGTAAGGTGTGAATGTATGGATGGCAGCGGGGCAGAGCGTATGTGAGTGGGGATTGGTGGAGGTGGGAACAGGAGCGTGGGGAAGCAGAGGGGATGTGGGTGGGGGTTTGGCTGAGGTGTAGTAGGTATATGGGGTTGTTCAGGGGTTGAGGGGTTGTGTTTATGCATCGAGTGGGAGTGGTGGTCTGGGTAGGGGTGTAAGTGGGGTGTGGGAATTGGGGTGTGAATGGATTGTGTGGGTGAGCGGTAGGGCTCAGTGGCTGTGAGGGTGGGTATATGACATTGCGTTGAACCTTCTCCTCCAGAAGGTCTACTCTCTTCCCCAGGCAACCCCCGCCACCTTCCCACTCAGCCCTAAGTGTCAACCTGGGTCATTATCCTCCTTTGTTCTCCATCTTGGTAAATTCTTCATCTGCGGGTAGGGGGCACCTGGGGCAGGCTCTACATCACCTTATCCCAGCTCTCACAGCCGCCATTCTTTCCTGCCCCCTCACACACCCTTCTTTCTGCCGGCCAGGTGCCAGAGCGCTAGGAGCGGGTGTCCTTGGCACCTGCTCCTCACTTGCTGCCCCATCCTGTCACGTACACCCACTCCGGGCCAGGTGCCCAAGCATGTCCATCCCACTCAAAGAACCACACTCACTGGCAAACAGACATGCTGAGACTCCCAAGCACCTGTGCATCGCAAGCCGTGAAAGGCCCAGTGGACGCCTAGGGAGAGCACTGACATACTGGGCACGTGGCACGGGCTAAACCCCGGCAGACCTAAACACGTGGGTGAGGTTTCACAGCCAGGGACCTGATTCTCATCGGGCTCTGGGAGGCTCACCAAATATACTTTGATTGCTGACCTGGGAGGACCCATACAAACTTCAAAGGCTCGTGAAGGCCCAAGCTAGGCCAGAGTGGACAAGGGGTCCTCAGCTCATCCTCAAACCAAAGGGCCCCACCCGGCCTTCCCAGGAGCTCCTCCTGGGCAAGGTGGCCCTCAGCTTTGCTTTCATGTCTCTCCCCCAAGGACACCTGCTCCTCTTGCTCTGGTCCACAGAAAGGACACCAGAGAGAAAGGGCCTGGCTACTGATAGCCAGCAGGAGTCCACAGTTAGGGTCACATCCCATGCGGACCCAGGGTGGTCAGCATCGCCAGAAGCCCTTCCACCAGTTCAGGAACAGCCGTACTTGCCCATTGTCAGAAAACTCACGACACCAAGTGCAAACCTTCCTCTCTGGGAACAATCCAGAAGAAACGCACTTTGTCTTCCAATACTTCACATACCTGAAGCCCAGCTGAACATCCATGTACCTCCTTCACCCAGTTCTCAATGGTTCTCATCCTCTCTAGCACTCTGCGTGGGCTGTGGCAACCTTGCATGTGCCGGGCATTTTTTGCCTCAGCTTGAAACTGCCCTGCAGCAGTCACACTGGTTCCAGTGAGTTTGCCTTGCCTGAGACCCCATGCTCTCTCCTTGGGCGTCTCCGCCCTCAGCTCTTTCACCTGTTGCTGGGGATGGGCCCAAGTGGGTTGGCCCGTGGGTCATAGTGCCAACCCGATCCCAGCTGAGCTAGAAGTCACTTCACCCCCACCAGGGAGAGGGGACCTGAGCCTTAGGGGCACCCCTTTGCCCAAATGTGGCCGCTGTGCTTTGAGCCAGACTGGTTGCCGTTTATACACCAAGAGAGCACTCACTGCCCAGTTGCCACAGGTCGCAAGAGCAGCTGCCACCTCCAGGCCCCATGGCACTCAGCGTCCCTCATCCTGGCTGACCCAGGCCCCTGATCACACACTCAGTGTGGATCTTACCCCAGAGTGTAAAATAGTTATGTTTCTGAAGGAATTTGTCGATAACTATCAAGTTTGAAAATGTTCGTCATACTCTCGGATCCAGTGAATTTGCTCTAAATAGATCCTAAAATGATGATAAATATTATGCAAGTTACAAGGATGTTAAAAGCAGCATGATTTTTTAAAATTTTTATTTATTTATCTTTAGAGAGGAAAGGAAGGAGGGAGAGAAATATCAATGTATGGTTGCCTCTCATTGAGTCCCTTGCTGGGAACTGGCCTGCAACCCAGGCATGTGCCCTGACTGGGAATCGAACCACGATCCTTTGATTCGCAGGCCCACGCTCAATCCACTGAGCTACACCAGCCAGGGCTAAAAGCAGCATGATTTTTTATTGTGGTAAAACACGCCTAACACAAAATGGACCACCTTAACCATTTTCACATGTCCAATTCAGTGGCCTTTCACATACATTGTGCAGCCACTGCCTCCACCTCATTTCTGTGCATCTGGTCATGGCGGGGAAATGGCGCCCCCCAGTATGTACCTGACATCTCTGGCGTCTTTCCTCAGCAAGTTTTCTAGGTTTGCCCATATCGCAGCAAACATCAGGACTTCATTCCTTTGAAGGCTAAATAATATTTTATTGCATTTCAAAAACACAGGGTGTGGCACAAATAACGCCCCTTCTTTCTTACAAAGCCATAAGCAGGTTATTCTGTAACGTAATGCTGTCACACTCAAGCACACCATATGGCACTTTAGGTAAAGTGTTCAAATTGCTGTCCATCTCGTGCGAGACGTTCACGAGCCTTACCAACCACAGTGAAGCGAGCGTTACTTCTGCCAGACCCTATATTCCATTGTAGAGATAGACCACATTTTGTTTCTCCATTGAACTGTGGATGGATGTTTGGGTTGTCTCTGCCTCTTGGTCACTGAGCCGTGCTGCTAGGAGAACTCCAGCACAAGGCCCTGACTTCGTGTTTGC